GTGGGCCCCGCAGCTTTCTTCTGTGCCGGTCAGCAATGACGGCCTCGCTAGGTCGATGCGGCAGGTAGGGTGAAAGATTTTAATGCTGCCTCGGTTCCTATGACGGAAAAAACCAAACAAACCCGGAAGATGTCCTGGCTGCGTTTCTTGTAAGAATTTGAAAGATGTTTAAGATGGTTTTGTGTTGTCGCTGTCAAACTCGTGCGGGTTAAAGAGGAGAAAATGTGTAGCAGCCTGAAAAGCATGTCTTCATCATACTGATAGAATCATAGACTGGTTTGGGTTGGAAGGGACCTTGAAGACCATCTGGTTCCACCCCCCTGCCCTGGGCAGGGACACCCCCCACCAGCCCAGGTTGCTCCAAGCCCCGTCCAACCTGGCCTTGAACACCTCCAGGGATGGGGCAGCCACAGCTTCTCGGGGCAACCTGCCCCAGGGGCTCACCACCCTCACAGCAAAGAATTTCTTCCCAATATCTAACCTAAATCTCCCTTCTTTCAGCTTAAAGCCATGCCCCCTCATCCTATGGCTCAAATCCCTGATCAAGCGTCCCTTCCCAGCATTCGTGGAGCCCCTTTAGGGACTGGAAGGGGCCCTTAGGTCTCCCCGGAGCCTTCTCTTCTCCAGGCTGAATACCCCCAACTCTCTCAGCCTGTCATGTCTCGCTGTGGTGTGTAATTTCTGCGAGATGCAGCATTGCCTTGTTAATAATAGGGATTGGCTTCAATGTTTTCATCAGCACTAGACTGTAGGAAGATGCTAACTGTCAATTCTGGAGAGTTACTGCTTTGGAGAGGATGCTATGAAAGGTCTACTGTTTCTTTTTCCTAGGCCAACTGGCATAGCAAGAAGCACCTGCAGCCCAGCAGGACATACTATAATCAGTGGACAGCCTGGGCTCTTCCCCTTGCAGCAGACAATTTTATAGACCAGTGTATAGAAGTCAGTATTGAGTAATGTGGCCAGACATCTGATTCGGTAGCGTGGAGATTTAAAGGTACTATGCTCAAACGAGACCGGTTTTAAAACGGCATACCTTAGAGCTAGGAATTTGGGAGTACTGGTTACTGACCGGCTTAATGTTCACCAGCAGAATCTGGCACCGAAATCAGGTAGTTACTCTGTTAGCTTGCAGAGCAACTGCCAAGATCTGTTCGTTAGGTCCCTCTTCAGTTTTTGTTTAAAACCCCTGTCATAAAAGAAGAAATAAAAAGTCAGAGTAAATATTGCCACAGGAAAGTAAATAACTTTTGCATTAATTTTTCCTTTTCTATAATCTGATGAGGGTAAGAACACTCCAAGAACATGTGACAATACCTGTGGTTGGATAATCTGTTTATCAAAATTGTATGTTTATCAAAATGTCAACAAAATGAATTTTGAGTGCGTGCACATAATTTTTATCTATCTAAATTCTTTTCAGTCATTTCAAGTCTTTTATAATCTTTATTAGTCTTTTGAAATCTGGCTTGGGAGATTTATGTGAACAAGTATGATGCTGTTAAATTTTTATTATGAAGAGGGTTTGGTAATGTCTCTGACAACTTTTTGTTCTTATGCTTTATTTAACTTCTGGATTGTATTTGGGGATACAGACAATACCATAGGTAAAATATATGCATGAATTCAGTCAGTAGAAAACTGGAAATAACAAGTCAACATTTTTGCTTAGCTTTGGAATTAGTGATGAATATAATCAGCACAATAAGAGCTCATATTGGTAAGTTTTGATTCACATGCGAGTGTGGCATAGACACTCATACCTGTTTCATTTTACAAGATTGGTATTTCTTTGGTCAGCAAGGAAACCTTTGTAAGTCAGCCTGAAAGTGAAAGGCTTTGTGGGGTCCTTTTTTGTGTGGAGAAGGGAAAATGCAAACCTCCCTTAGTGCAATCAAAATGAAAGGGATAATAAAATGCCCTTTTTTTTTTTTTGTATTAAACATTGCTAGGGTTACATGACACTCTCTGCTGCTGTCTGTTTTCTTCATAGTCTTTTGGCAAAAGTTATTTCAAAGGAGCTCTGCAAAATACAGGTTCACGCTCATCTTTAAGCACTAGTCTGCATGACCCAGCCTAGATTTAATATACTTTAGATCAATTTGGTTCCTTGCCTTGTTTTGACTCTTTCTGTCAAAAATGGTACTATATAATTCAAGCGCTGTAGCCTTGTTTTATCTATTTTAGAATCCTTCTGAACTGAAAAAAAAATTTCTTACTGTATGCTCATTTTAAGTTACTTGTTCTTTTCCTAATCAATTTTAGTTTAATGTGGTTTGTAGTTAATTTCACTTTTTATGCTTTTCCTGTTTTTTTTTTTCCAAGGATATAGATAAAAATGGCTTATATGAGGCTATAGTTTAGTTTCAACTATTTTGGGTTTCAGACCTAGTAAAAGTAATGCTTTTAATATTATTAACTTCTCTGTCGTTTCAGAAAAATTATTTTTGAGAAGCAGTGGTTCTATCTGGATAATGCCATCGGACATACTTATGGAACTACATTTGAAGTAACCAGTGGTGGAAACCTCCAGCCAAAGCAAGAGGTGGAAGAGACTGCCACAGGTATTACAGAGGATCCACTGGTGTTTGGAAAAACGAGTTCCAATTAATTTCTTTCTTTGATAATACCAAAGATGATGGAAAAGCTTTCTATTAATCATTTGTTAACTTAATGTTACTTATATTCTTTCTGTCATAAAAGTGCATGGTTTTGTCTCGATCTGCTGTTTCACTAGTCCTGTAACAAATAAGCTTTTTAATATGGGAGAAAATTTAAACCTTAGTTTGGGTGAATATATATACAAAGGTGTATTTTACATATTACATTTCATTGATTGCTTAGGCAATATTTTGCAAGGCTATGAAGCATGTGGGTTTAATCCTGAGAAGTCTGCTTTTCTGTGAAACTAAAATCGTATGTTTCTCCAACTTTAAGATATTTAGAGCTAGATTTTACAAATCTGTATCCTTTTCCTTTAGAAACAAAAGAAGCAGGTACAGATAATCGTAACATAGTTGACGATGGAAAGTCTCAAAAACTGACTCATGATGACATAAAGGCTTTGAAGGACAAGGGTATTAAAGGACAGGTAAAAATAAGGTTTTGGTGTCATTTCTGTGCTGCCTTGGTGGTTATATTTTAGCTTATGAAAGAGGCTGTTCTTTTTATCGGTGCATAGGCTTCAGTGCTTCTTCTTTGTTCTTCTGCCCAAGTCATGTTTTTCCTAAAAATCTGTTTTTACAAAAATGCAGAGGCTGTTTTCAGAGAAAACTTCATGTAAGGTTGGCAACTTTGTCAATGGAGAGTAAAGTCTGAATTTTTACGGCATCAGAAGTCATAACAGACAAAAAGAAATATTAAAACCATTACGGAAATACATCTTGCATAATCACCTTTTAGTTTTGTTTATAATGTTCAAAATATTATTTCTATATTAGACGTATTAAAATTAATGCAATAATTCAACTAACAAAGATGTAGGAAAGGATAATGGATAAACACCAAAGTATTAACAACACTATGTAACAAACGTACTACAGTTGTGCCCCTAGGCGGTACCTACCAAACACATGTGCTGCCTGTGTTTTATCTGCACCTCAAAAGCTAAGAATATTCTCAAGATGTGAGTTCCGTTCTGCTAGAAAAGGGATTGGAATTTACCCCACGCTTTGTCAAAAAGAAGTGAGACCATCTTAAATGTTGATAAACCATTGCAGCCAGTTCTGTTCTGCACGTGTTACCAGGCAAAATTCTCTCTCATCTTTAGTTTACCCTTTCTAATAAGAATAAGAAATTGCTCATGCTTACATCGAGTTCATCTCCTCTTTGCATCCTGCTGTTTGCTGCTGCTCTTCAGAGCAGTTGTTCTGCTTTTGCCTGCTTAATCACGGATGGGTCCAAGGAGTTGAGAATGGTATTTCTTCTCTTTGCGCGGTTGTGCTGCTCGTGGTGTTATCTCTTTGAGAAGAAGGTACTAATCAGTCTGATAGCTTTGACATTTTCTGTTCATTCTCATTATCCATGGCTGAAGATCACTCTGGCTTTTCTGTATGTCCTCCGCATGTCTTTGCCATACATTTATCATATTGTTATTTTAGGTTATTAAAATATCCTGCTTTGTTAACTCTGGCATCTGAACTGTAGCTGAATATTCATTTTAGACTGTGTTGTATTAGCAGCAATAGATACTATTCTTCCATAAATGTCTGGTAAAATCTGAATTCATGTTTGTGAATGGCATGTCTTTGTGACACAGGCTCAGTTTAGAGATGTTATTTGCAATAAACCCACCTCATTGTTGATGGGGTTTGATTTCCCATCACTTCCCAAATCCTTCCCAGGTCCTGAGGGATAGATATTAGGATGCAGACATGAAATGGCATGTACTCCCAGGGCATTGCAGAGTGTCACAGCTTCCCTTTGGCTTGTTTTGATTACCCTACTGAGATATTCCCCAGCTTCCTCACTGTAATTTTAACTGAAAAAAACCCCCAAAACCCCAAACCAAACAACCCAGGTATTGCATTTAACTTTTTTTCCAAGAATAAAGCAAAAAAAAAAAAAAGGATACGCCATTTCTCAGTATTAATAGTACATTTAAAGTGTTTGAAGGACTTTAAGAAATGATGGCATGAAAAGTAGCAATAGAAAGCGAGAATTACTTGTGCCACTGTATTTTGGAGCAGGTTCTTAAAGCACAATGGAAGATGCAGTGTCGGCATTTAAAATACTCCTGTCATTCCCCACCACCACCACCTTCAAACTCCTGTGAGGCCAGGCTACTGCTCTTCCTACATGTTTAATAGAAACTTACAAATTTAGCAGTTAAAATACTATGATCGCAACAACCAGAATAGCATCGTGCAGCATTTGGTCTTGTATTGCAAGCACAGAGACAAGCCCTGAGCAATGAAAGCTTTTTTTCTGTTGGAGGTCTTAACGATTCCTCCAGCCAGAACCTGAAAGTACGAGGAAGAAGAGTTGGATTGGCAAAGGGAAGAGATTAGAACAAGGAGACCGGGAAACAAAAACCAGAATTCGGGGAGCTGGAAAAGGAAGAAGTCAGGGGGAGTGTTGTTGGTAATAGTAAAATACTAACGGGTTTGACATCATGCAAGGAGCTGGTACAGGAGTCTAGCACAATTTGGGAGGCAGACAAAATTAAGTGGGGTAAAGGAGATGTCTGGTAAGTAGCCAGAGTACAGGGGAAGAACTAGCACAAGATGGGGAAAAAAAAAAATACCCTCAGAGATAGAGATGCTGAAGGCAGACAAGAGACCCAAAGCGGGAGTTGGATTTAAGTAAATATTACGTATGACATCAGGTTCCTTTTTTTGTTTTGTTTTTGTAAAGTAATTTTTGCCTGTATAGCTGTGCATGGGACTGAGGGTACTGTCATGCAAACCAGTTCCTGTGGGGAACATTAGACTGACAGAATACATGTCAGTTGTTCCATAATAACTGCCAATAAACATAACTCTGTCTCATTCTAAATACAGCATAATTAAAAGTAGCTAATCACTTAGAGAAAGCAGGGTAGTCTCATTTACATTCAGCAGAGGATAAGATTATGTAGGTAGTGAGGCTGCACTGTAATGACTTGCTGATGCTGAAAGGAACAATCCTGCTTTTTCTTCATTTCTGGCCGTACGAGTCTGCCCTCTCTCTTGAGCTGGTTCTGGCACCTACCGGACTCCTTCCCCACAAAACACCCCATTTCCAGCATCTGCATTTTCAGTTTTGTCATTTTCATGCTGGCATTAACGTAGTTAAAGAACACCTAGAGACAAAAGTATATGATTAAATTCCTGCAGGTAGTCCAGGTAGTGCCTCGCTCTTTAGTAGCAATTTACTTTGCCATTAGCATCAGTAGAAGTTAGTGTTATACATGCCTCTACTGGAAGGAAATATTTTCAGTGTTGGTTTAAAGAAATACTATATATGAAATGAATCATAAATAAATACCAGCTATAATAAAAATAAATTGTCTTTTCCAAGGAAATAGTTCAGCAGTTAATAGAGAACAGTACAACATTCAGAGACAAAACAGAATTTGCTCAAGATAAATACATAAAGAAGAAGAAAAAAAAGTAAGTGAATTTTAAAATGTGGAAAATATTTATTTGTTCTGTAATTTGCTGAGCTTGAAATAAGACTATTACTATGTGTTTCTTACAGATATGAGGCAGTTATTACAATTGTGAAACCATCCACTCGCATTCTTTCAACAATGTATTATGCAAGGGAACCTGGAAAAATCAAGTAAGTTTTCATTTTGTTCCTTTTTTTCAAATTATAACAGAAAGGCATTTTAATATTTTTCAAAATACCTGTATTATACCAGAGTAATACTCATCACATTTCTTTTTTTTTTTTTTTCCCCCGTTAATGGGAAGATTGTAAATTAATGAAAAATAATGTGATCTAGAAGATGAATCAATATGCTCTTGCAGTGAAAACTCTCACATGCAGCATCAGCTTTTACCTTTTCCCTACCACCACCGTCTTGTTAATCACCTACGTAGACAGAGGCTCTTTGCATTTTCAGAGGCATCTCCCACCTGGTTTTGGTCAGTGGCACATTGTCTCTGTTTTCTGGCTCAGTAATTAAAATAACGAGCCACCTACCAGAAGCAGGAATTTTTGTCTTTAATGCGTTAAGGATTCAAAATCTTTTTCAGTCAGAAGTCTCCAGAATTTGAAAACATGTGGTTAACACTGAGGGGTGGGAGTTGGGGGGCAATGATGCCAGAGATCTAGCCGTGTTTGATTTTCACTTACCTAAATTGAATGATACATCATTACAGACGTTGTTTAAGATGGACTGATCTATTGTTTTTAAAATAGTAAAAGTAGATCTAAGATGCTAGAATTTAAAACACTCCAATGTATGTTATTTAAGGCTTCTCAAACCTTTTACCTTCTCCTTCCCCTGTCCCCTTCACTTGGCTTTATTTATCTATTAGATTAGTTGTCATTTCCTCAGCCATCACTGAGTCTCGTCAGTCCGTAGAATTAGGTTTTGACCCAGGATTGCATGTGGTGTGTGCTGCTGCAAGCCAGATGAAAATCACTGAGGCTATATTACTGGATTAGGAAATGCATTCAAATACCATTTGTTCTTTACAAAACTGACACGTTGGAGGAAACAACAAAAATCTGAAAAGAAGTTTAAAAAATACTTTGACAGGCGTAGCATGAGATGTGCGCCCTTTATTACGTGCACCCTACTTCATATCTGACTTTTGCTATTTTCTTTGTAGACCTAATATGCGGTATTTCTAACTCTAACAGAACTAATTTGATATTTCTTAAAACCCCCTTTCTTCTAGCCACTTGCGATATGACACCCTGGCTCAGATGTTGACTTTAGGAAACATCCGTGCTGGCAACAAGATGATTGTAATGGAAACGTGCGCCGGCCTGGTGCTGGGCGCGGTGATGGAGCGCATGGGAGGTAAGGAACGCGGTAGCTTTAGTCATGTAGAGACTGAGGCCTTACTTTAAACTTAAGAAATACACGTCTCTGTGATACTTCTAAAAGGCGGTACTCCAAAATACTTTCCCAGTTTTTAAAATCTATTTTTACCATCTCCAGTCCTCAAAGAGATACTTGTCTTTCCATTGGAGAAAGTTGTATTTTGCATATTTCAGTTGGATTTATTTTTCACTGTGTAAAAAAAAAAAAAAAAAATGTGAAATTTAAAGTTGATATCACTGTATATAGATCTAGTTTAGTTTCTGCCTTAGCATAATGATGTTGTGTTCAGAAAAGGCTGTAAGGAGCCTGTGTGCAGAAAAGTGAATGGCAGAAAACAGGGATAACACTGGAATTCAGACAGCCCGCAGCACTGAAAATGCTTCATTCCTCTTGTTCACTGCACCAGAGATTTAACATCTGCAAAATGCGTATTTTAAAGTAGTATATGACATTTTCTTGAGTGTATTCAAGGAGAAGTTTGACTTGTTTTTTATTTCTTAAACTCAGTTAATTAGTTTCATCATACATCAGTCAAAGACACTAAACAGAGATGACAATTACACTCCAGACACCTGGAAAGGTAGGAGGTGCGATGTAATGTTGTGCACCAGATGTGCTCTCGGTTGGCTGAGAAGCACACAGGCAGTTATACCGTAAATTGGTTTTGTTTCAGAAACTTTTGGCTATAGGGATACTTTCTGAAGTGAATTAAATAAGATGCAATTTCAGTATAACTACTGAAAGGTTCTTTTTCGTATGTTTAAACATCTGACATCTCTTCCTTAAGACTCTGGATGTTGAAGAAATTCTTTGCCTATTAATGCTGTTTAAGTTAGCTTTTATTTTTTATCAAAACAACTCCATAGTTAGAAGTAACAAATACTGTAAAAAATTGTCTTTTTAATTCTTAATTAAACTAGCTTCTCTAACAATTTGTCACTGCTTATATGTTCTGTGCTAATCCTAAATACATGTTTAATACATGTGTAATCTCTGAGTTACCTTGTCCTTCTGAGTTGCAGTAACTGTTGTCCTTCCAGTAAAGATTTTCTACCTTGAGGCAGCCTGCTTTTCTACCTTTAGCAGCCTGCTAAATTTGATGAAGGTTAGAGTAAGTGCAGGCAATATACTTACCGGTTCTTAAAGCTATGCTTCCCAGAAATCCTGGCTTTCCAATGTGTTTTTTATTCTTTTGCTTCCATAGGCTATGGATCCATTATTCAGATGTATCCAGGAGGGGGACCTGTTAGAGCTGCTACCAGTTGTTTTGGATTTCCGAAAAATTTTTTCGATAATCTTCACGAATTTCCTCTCAGCGAAGTGGAGAGTCTCCTCTCGGGGACGTTTTCTACAGAGACTCTGCCTTCAGATCCTGAAGATAACGCGCTAGCGGAAGAAGAAAGCAATGGACTGACCGATGAGAAGCAGACTTCCCTACAGGAAACGGAAGAGGAATCTGCTCCTGAAACAGCTATGGAGATCAACCAAACAGAAGAGCAAGACGCAATGGACATTAATGCTGAAGATGTAGAATTTAAAGAGAACAAAGAAAAAGAGAATAAAGACAACGTAAGAATATTTATTGTGGCTATTCAAGTTTTACAATGTTAATCTACTTAAAATTCTGCTGTCTGAAATAGAGCTTATTCAGGTGTTAAAATGGAACTCTGGAAGTTGTCTTTTGTCTTGCCTTAAGCCATCTAAGATGCAAAAAATGAAAATTCATCCATGCTGTAGTGATCCAGTATATAATTACCAGTTAAAGTGCAAATTATTTGTTTTGTTGTTCAAAGGTTCGGGAAAAGCAAAGAAAACAATGGGAGAGAAGGAAAAAACTAATAGAAACTGCTGCTTTGTTGAGAGAGAAGAATGCCGATGGGTGAGTTTGTTTGTAGTCAGAAAGGTCTTCTGTTTGAAACCACACCTACAGAAAATAATTCCCTTTGAAACAAATAAAAGCTCTGTTTTAAAAAGACCCTTTTTTTTTTTTCTTAATATTTACAAGCAAGCAGTCAACCCAGATGTATCTTCATTCTCACTTGGTTCATACCTGGTTGAGATTTTTTTTTTTGTTATTTAAATGGTTTGAAATTTCATGATCTAAAAGATATAAATTCCTGACTAGCTATAAGTAAACATTAAAAAAAATAATATTCTATCCAAAGAGAAACAGAATCCAGGTAGAATTTAATACAAAATAACTGCTGATAAAAATCACAGGATTCCAATTGGCAAAGTAGAACCTGAGGTTTTAAGTTTGTTAAACTGGAACTAAGTTTGTTGTTTTGGGGGTGTATTTGTTTGGCAGGTTTGTTTTTAGAAACTAATTTCTTCTATACACAGGACTTTTTTACAGTCCTTTTCTTTTTTACACATAACTATTTCTTTTTTATGCATAACTTCACTTTACTTGTTTTAGCCAGGTTCGATTCTTCTCAAGGAACAATTTAACATGAAGATTTAATATCAGAAGTTTAAAATAAAGACAATAAACATATTCTTAGAAATTCAGCCCTACAGTAGTGTAAGAGCACTTGGTGGTTGTTACTATTTCATGATGTTCTCAGCAAATGCTGAAGTGATTTGAGTTAATCGAGTAACATTGATTTAGTTAATTTAATAACGTTCATATTCATTTTTTCCTCCCAAGAATATTGGCTCACTGGGAATAAAGCCGTTCTGCTTGGATAAATTGTAATACACATTTATTGGTTAGATTGAAATGCTTGTGTATAATTTTTGGTTTTGTTATTATGAAATGTTTTCACTCAAGCTCATTTATATTTTAGTATACCTCATCTAGCAAATTGAAGTGATAGAATTAGCCTTTTCTGTAAAGGTGCAGGAGCGGGTCATTCTGGGTTCTCTGAAGCAATAAAATGGTACGGGAGGTTTGTAAAAGCACTGCATGTCTGTTTGGCAGCAGCAGCACCAATGAAGGATGACCATTAAGCTGCCTAAACAGTGGTAGTAGTTGTACTGCTGTCTCCTGCACCCATCATTATAATTAATGTCTACACAGTCTGGGAAAGTGAAAATTAGTAATTGCCTTTACTTGATTCTTCTTGTGGTGTAAAATAGTATTATTTGGTTGTTGATGACATTTGAGTTCAAGGGAGCCTATTTAGTATTTGTCTCTTGTTCATTTGTTTTCGGTCGCTTGTATACCTCTTTTGCCCTTTGTAATGCATGCAAGCTAGAACAGATTATATGCTTGAAGGGACGAGTGAGTTCTTGCTCTAAGAAGTCTTCAGCACGATGCGCGGAAGAGAAGTGTATGGTTGCCTGAAGGCACTGTCCCAGATGGCTCAGTCAGGATCACCTTTCTTTAGTCATCTGCCTTTTTATAGCCCACCATTTGTTAAGATCAAGAACCACAGGGTACATACACTGCTCAGCCAGGAAAATTTGGCATGGAATAAAGAAATGCTTCACACTAACGACTTGGCCCGTGAGTAGAAGCAGGCAGGGACATTAAGATTTTGTTATTTTGCAAGAGGGAAATGGAGAAAGGATAGGTGAAAGCTGTAAATATTCTACAATATTTACCACTTAATTCAGAAGATACGATTTTATATGTCTTCTGTGCTGTTATATGGTAACGCAGTTCTTCTACGAGACCTGTTTGTTCAATTCCATTTAGGAGAGTTGAAGTCTGTCATAGGTTTTCGAGGCAGAAAAAGAAAGGGATTCGGTACTCTTCAAAAGATGACTCTTTTAAGATAGACTATTAAATTTTTCTGATATGATGAAAGCAGAAATCAGTTCATAGACACTCCATGTGTTCAGAATTTGACCACGCACCCTCTCTATACACTCCCCTGCCCTTCCTCTACCTCCTCCTCCTCCCCTCTCACCCATTACATTAATTTTGCGACTGGCCAGACCACCTGCTGACAGCAATATGTGCTGCCATATGAGAGGACAGAGTTTGATTTTTCGCAGTCTCTCTCATCCCTCGCTTACCTTCCTGGCGTCTGGCAGAGCTCCTGGCAGCGTCGGTGCAGCACTCCAAGCCTTCCAAGGCACAGTCTGGAGTCTGTTCTTTATGGTCCACTTGGTTAATTACTGAGCACAATCGTTTTGAAGTTTGGAATTAGGGTTAAATAAGGCCGTGGCCAGCAGAAAACCGAAATGAAAACAACTGTAAAAGAATTGTCTCACCTCTCTCGTGTTTAGAAAATTGAACGTCCATTTTTACCTCCCTTTTGTTGAGTAAGTTTGATGGTACCTCCAGTGCTGCAAATTCCCCTGGAGAACAAATATTAATTAATGGATGGGTCTTTTCATATAGTAACTGTATACTAGAGAAGTAGTTTAATTAGCCTGTTCTTTCTGCAAAAGTACAACTTATTAACTAATTGAATCTTATCCATTTCTTGCAGTACAGTTTAGCGGTGATGTTTTTGATGAAGAACTCTAGATATCTATAGAGAATCTGAAGCATCTGTAAATATGAGTTGTGATATTTTATTCTTCATCCTCATTTTAATATGAAGCCTTTAAGTTGGCAAGGAAATAATTTCTTTTAAAAAGATTTTTAGTCATTCCCACTAAGGGATTGTTTTTTCTTTAAATAATAACTTCTTCATATAAAAATGTATTTTATGACGATTACCAGTTTGGGTGATCATGACTGAGGTTACATTCTACGCAACAATTAGCAGTCACAAAAATTAAATATTTGGTCTTAGTGTAGAGAAAGCAGCATGCAAATTCCTGGGCTGTAAGAATTATTGTGGAGCTCAGCACAGCTGAAACGAGTGCTTCTGCAATGCGTTTAACGTACTGCACTTCAGGGAACGAGTGTTTTATCCTCTTAATTACGCAAGTAGGAAACTGTGATTTGTTTTTATATTTGGGGAGTTGTTAGAGCCATGAAAACATGCTGATTGGCAACATTGAAGCTATAATTGATCGCTGTGCTAAGTAGGAGAAAATGTCACTCATTGAATAGGTTTTAGAAGCCGAAAACTAATGCGCGTGAAATTTCTTTTGCAGCTTAATTGTAGCCAGCAAGTTTCATCCCACTCCTGTATTGCTCGCTTTATTGGAATTTGTTGCTCCTTCAAGGCCTTTTGTTGTCTACTGCCAGTATAAAGAGGTAAATCAAGTATGTTACTTTAGCTGTTACAGTTCAAGTTTGAGACTATTCTGCTGTATAACCTACTATTTGGGTTTTTTAAGCCATTATTA